CTTTAAAAGCCTGCTCCCAGCACCCGAGCAACTTCCCAGCAACTTTCGGCTTCCTTTTAACTCGCGGGCGCTCGCGCCTGGCCCCGAGCCGCGCGGCAGAGGGGAAGCCCGGTGGCCGGGCAGGCTGCTTGGAGGAGGTGACCCGGTGGTGCTCCGGCAGCAGCAACAGGCAGTTTCGCCCGGGCTCCGTTCAGGTGTCTGGCTGGGGCTGTCAGGAGTTGCTACCGCCGGCGCAGCTCCGTGCGGCTCCAGTCCCGCGTTGCCTTGGGAAGGAAAAGGCAAAACCAGGAGCCGCTGAGCCTGAGCCTCCGGTGCCGCTGCTCCCGTTGCAAAGCACCGCCGCGGCTCTTCCTTTTTGCCTTTCCCTTCCCGAGGCAATGCGGGACTAGAGCCGCGCGGAGCCGCGCCGGCAGTAGCAACTCCTGACTCAGGGGGCCTCCGAGGGGAGGGGAAGGAGGAGAAGAGGGGGGGAAGGGGGGGCGATTCCCAAAAAATCTTGTGCTGACCCGGCCCGTCTGTCAAATTTTAAAAGTCAATGTGGCCCCCGAGCCAAAAAGTTTGCCCACCCCTGTCTTATACCTTCATTGCTGTGTGATTTCACATTTAACTAAATATTATGTTATATTTGGAAATATTTTATTATCACGTGCTTTATTTCATAAAGTTCCTAGACTTCATTTTTTTTTCCTGAATAACTTATATAGAAAGAAATATTTTATAGGTTACTATTTCCAGGAGGCATAGAATAGGAAAAAAAATTTTTTTCCATGAGAATAGGAAAAATCTATGGGGATTTACCAAGCAGTGTGTGCAATTGTAATTTTTCTAATGGAAGAAGTTGATAGAAGTTTTGTGAAAAGCATAGTAATTTGGTGTTGAGTGATTTTGAATAAAGAGATATACCACACATCAGGAGGTATACCACATGTTAGTGAGTCACTGTGCACCTTTTTCGATATAAAAATGAAACGTGATAAGGTTTTTGTTGGAATATAAGCTTGTTATTTGTAAAATTACCCAGGTCAAAGTTCTGATATATTTTCCTATGAACATATAACCAGATTTCTACTTATTTTATTATATTTTATTTTCTATATTTGACACAACATTATTGTCATAACCTATTTAATTCTTGTCTCCCTCTGATTGTTGATATCTCACCATTTAGATCTGCTTCCAGCTGTTCACATTCATTGTCTGGCTAATGGAAAAATCAGCCTGTCCTGTGAAATAGGTGGCCAGTTCAATGATAATGTTCACTGGACTCTGAATGGAAATCCTGTAAGTGATGCCTGCATCACGGATAATGGCACTAAAATTATTTTGGAAAAAGGTAAACGTGGCAAGTTCGTTTGCCAAAGAGGAAATCACTGTAAGAGTTCTCCTGTTGAAATGACATGTGAGAATGGTAAGTTATAGTTTATCTAACTTTACTTATTGGAGTTCAAAATGGTATATGGATAAACTAGTTCTATACCTGTGCTTCGGTACAAAACTATGTGATAGGGCTTAGTTTTGGGGGAGGAAAATAAGGGGGAAAAATTATGCCACTGCCGACCAGCATCCATCAGTATTCATCTGGCTAGCATTGTGTCAGTGTGTGAGAGAGTTGAGGGCTGTTTGGAAACTGAAGCAGTATTTGCTGTGTGAGCAAGGAGCCTGGGCGTGGCTTAGCTCAATTGTTCTGTACTAAGTTGCTTGGTGCTGTGAAACTAAAGCTGAAACTGAAACTCCTCTCCTTTGCTTGTGTTTTGCATTTCGAACAGATTTCTTTTCAGGTGGGGAGGGGGAGTAGAACTCCTTAGAATCAAAGCATGTTAATAATAATATACAAAATACCAATGCTCTGATAGTCATTTTGAAAAATCCTTTCTTAGTGAGCACCTAGAAGCCAAGAGGAACATATGTGCCAAATTTCAAGTTTGTAGGCTTTACAGTTCTGATAGTGGTGGGATTCAAAATTTTTTACTACTGGTTCTGTGGGTGTGGCTTGGTGGGCAGGGCAGGGGAAAGATAGTGTAAAATCTCCAGTCAGAGGTGGTATTTGCTAGGTCTCCGAACTACTCAAAATTTCTGTTATTGGTTCTCCAGAACTGGTCAGAACCTGCTGAATACCACCTCTGGTTCTGGAGATTGATGATGCATCAATGGTATTTTGCTTTTATATAGAGAGATATATAGATAAGCAGATTGTACTTCCCTATGTATCCTTCATTTAATCTGGCCAGCTGAAAATTGTTTATCAAATCATTTTCCCTTTTCTCCTCCTCATTAGTGTGAAACTACAGCTCTTGTTTAGGTAGTGTAGATGATAAGGCAAACTACTTCCTTTTTCTCATATTTTAATCTTCCTGATTATTTTCGCAAATACCATTTCAGTGAAAACACCAAGCAGCACAAGTGATGAAATGGTAGCACTTGTGATTGATGGGGAACAATTGTTTTAATATAAGCATTAGGAGAGGAAAAAATATATACACAAATATATTCAATGCTGATGCAAATTAAATGCACCCATGAGATGTGATTATGCCAGAATGAGGATCTAATCTTACCACCAGCAATCTGTGTACCCTAACCCTTAACACTGAATCTGGCTACTGTAGTTTCTGCATCTGTATTTATTTTCTAGAGTCCTAGTTTGGATGTAAGAAAAAGGGAGTCAAAGATAGATAAATACTACATCAATGGCTCTTTGGATCTGATGTGGATATGAGCATAGCAATTTGATTAGGTGTCATGGTCCTCAAATGCACAGAAACACCAACACCACTGTATTCTCAAAATATTATAGAGCACTTTGCATATGGAGGGCTTCAGGTTTAATCTCTGAGAACTTTAAGAAAAGCTGGAGGAAAAAGATCTAAGACAGGAATTGGTCAACTGATGTAGATTAAGCAAGCCAGCTAAATCAAAGGTCTTGTTTAGTATAAGGCAACTTTCTGTATTCTTATATCAGAATACATATTCCAAAACCTGAAAATTATGGATAGTTGAAAAGATAATAATTATGTATAATTCAGGCAAAATAATTTACTTTTCGTTGGTATATTCTAGACAAGAGAAGAAATTAAATAGCTAACAATGCCCATACTCCCCCCCCACCCCATAAAACCATCTCTAGATTTAGCATGTGAACTCACTGATTGCTTTGAAACTGCATTTTTCAACAATTATAATAGAAACTTTAACCTTAGACTGTCTACTATTGACCTCACCTGTTTCCTAAGAGGTCTGTAGGGAGGTCTGTGCATAAATGCACCAACGTGCCTACCGTCCCTGTCCTATTGTTTCTTTTGATTTTTCTTCTATGTATGCATTTCATGTATTCATAACTGTATTTATACTTATACCTGTTATCTTATAATCACTTGATAAATAAATAAATAAGTAAGTAAGTAAGTAAGTAAGTAAGATACCTGGCTGTTAATGCAAATACACAAACAAAGTAGGTCTGGAGTGGTCTAATGGTTAAGCCTGCCAACTGTCTTTGGACCATTCCCACTCTCCCAGCCCAACCTACATCACAGGGTTTTTGTAGTATAGAAAATAGGAAGAAGAAGGAAGAAGGACTATATCCATGTTCACCATCTTTAGTTATGTATAAAAATAGTTAAAAATAGATAAAAACAAAATAAATAAACTGTATTTGATAGTACAGTTAGATTATTCAGCCTTATCCTAACATCACTTCTGTGTTCAGATTGGGCTATATTTGAACTAACATTCAGCAATTCCTATAGTTTATGCTGTATCACTATTGCAAGGTGCAAAGGAGCATAAAGAATTATCTCTGAGGGGATTGTGCACCTGTTACTGAATCATAAATATCAAAGCCACACAAAACTATTTGCAGATAGCAACTCTGACAACACACTGACAGAGATTAATCTAAATAATTAAGAGGATCAATGAATTAATAATACCAACTTTATGCTTAATTGTTTACATTATTAAACTTTAGTCTTTTATAGGATGTAAACATTAAAGTAGAAAATATTTTGTCTAACTATGTTTCTGCAACTGCTAATATTGGCAGACATTTTATAAAAATAGTATGTTAAAATCAAGGAAATTGTATTAGCCTACTAAAGAAAATAGTCTGCCCTAATGCATATAAGCATACACACACACATATTCTTCCTACTGTTAATCTTAGAAGACAAAGTTTATATCATGACTGCAAGTTTCCTCTAGCCTTCTCTGTCTCAGCTCCCAGTGGACTGCCTTGCCAGAAGAGTGACAGATCATTCCTGCCTGGTTACTTGCCAAGAGTTTCTTGTTCAAATTAAGAAGTTTCCTTTTCGTCCCTTTTTAATGAACCAAAAGTGACACTAAGATTATATTGAGAAACCAACTGACTCGTAGTTACTTTTGCCATTTTTTCCCTCAATCAAATTATCATAGATTCACACGACACACTGAAATGGTTTTAGACAGCATGCTAAATTGGAAAATTGGTGCGAAAGCAGGGGTTTAGTGAGCTGTAGAAAGAGAGTCTAATTGGGCCTTTGTGTCTAATTCAGTGGAAGATACTGGTGCAACATTTGCTAACTTGCAAGTAGCAGCTTCTGTGGGAAAAAAGAATACTCCAAACTGCTGCAGAAAAGGAAAATTTTATAGTCTTTCCATGTAGAGCAGATTGTAATCAAGCTATGTTATGTTATTTTCATTTATTACCATAAATGAATACCATAAACTAATGTAATACCATAAATTACCATAAATTATTGCAAATAGAAAGGAAAAGAAAAGAAAGAAAAACTTATAAAAGGACAACTCTTATAAATAAAATAAAAATTAGCCCTATGGATTAAGCATATAAATTAGAATATGCAATCCAAATCTCTAAAAAAATTGTGCAGGTAGATGTCAAGCAGTTCAATGCTTACTCAGCTGTATAAAAAGTTAGCTTGCTTATTTATTTAATTTACTGTCTGACTCTCAACATCTCTGGGTGGTTCACAAATGCAAACATTAAAAAAATACAGTAAAATACAAACATAAAGAAAAAATGATAGCAAAGAGGACACAAACAGACAGGAGTGGAATCCTCCTCCCCAAAGATCCATACTTCAAGTGGGGATAAAATTGAGAAGAACTGAGATCACTTCTAGATGATTAAAATATGGAGGAGGGCAGTCACAAAAGGAATATTCATTTCCATCATTCTCTAGTTTTCAAACAATTCACATATAATGCAAAAACACAGAAAAATCTAAAAAAAGCAGTGAGTTTCCGGAATAAAATTAAAATGTAAAATAAAGGGAGTTGATATAACACATGATTATATTATAACAAATATATATTTGTTGCCTGCACTTCATAGTTATAGATTTTCATTTAATTTATTTAAATTACATTTAATAAAAATTGTTTTGAAAATAATAGCACCTATTTAGGATGAAATTGATAGATTTGACTACATTGTCAGTCTTTTTCTGAATAAGTAGTTACAGTCCAGAATTCCTTTAAAAAACTTGGTCTGTGTATATTAATTCATATATTTTATCCTGGCTTCTAGTTGTTAAATCACCACCCGGAGTCCTTCTTTGGGAGAGAAGGTTGGTTCAGAAATGTGAAAAATAAAATAAAATAATAAATAAACTGACCTCAGCATTGTGGAATTTGATATGAAAAGATATGTAGCACTAATTTTATTTAAGGCATAAGAGACACATGCTTTGTGAATCTTTTTCATTTTATCATATTTCGGTGTATATATTTAAACATTAAAAAATAAAACTCTGCCTTTTTTAATGTCAAGATGCATCTGACATCAGCTCTAGTTCTGATTTCTAATTTTGTCAACTTTGTCAACTGCTGAAGGCCATCTGTTAGATCGGGTAGATCGGTTCCCACAGAGCCGCGAGACCAAGTGTACATTCAGCTCTTTATTTCAGTGTTAAGACCTGTACAAGATCTTGGAGCCGCGGCAGCCCTTCATATAGGGATTGCTCGCGGCTCGGCGGCCAATGACAGCGCTTTGAATCTCCCGCGATCGACTCGGCCAATCGTGGTTGATTCTTAGCGCGCCAATCACGGCCGTTCAGTTGACCAATCGGGTTGCGGTCCGTGTGGACCAATCAGAATTCAGTGTTTGGAGAATGCTAATATAGAACACCATCTCTTTCTTCCTACCAGGGGATCTGCTGCAGCATCCATTCTTCCTGTATGTCCTAACAGCCTGTGGAGGTGGAGCAGTTTTACTAGCCGTCACAGCCTCATTGATCACATGCTGCTGTATGAAAACCAAGCACAACTTTGTTCGAGTGCCTGTGGGTGAGTATTGCCTTTTCTCTTTGGGTAGTGTGTCATAATGCAGCCCATCTATGCTTACTTAACAACAAGTATTTAAACAAAATCATGAAGAAAATCAGAAAAAAGACAATAGAGGGAAAGAGTTTTTTCCATTTATTATTAAGAACTTGCTTTGGGCGAATTGGCAAATAATTAGCAGATATTTTTGTGGAAGATACCTCTATTTTTGGTAAATGCTGCTGAAGTTGTTTACTTTCTCAGGCCACTTACCAAGCTGAATATTGTAAGCATAGCATCCTCCACAGCATTCACCAAAGGATGACCTTCATCAAAGCAGTTGACAAGTAGTCTGGAAGAGGTTCCAGGCCATGCAGTCTCAATGTGCCCATATTTGCCAAAGTTGCTCAGACTTTGTCCAGAAGACCCCTGGCAGCACATGTTAAGTGGCTTTTGACTGTGAATCACATAATGGTGGTTAAAGTCATTCTTTGTTGATGGATCTTGGTTAGCTTCATAGAACAAAAATTCTTGTCCAAGGGCACTCAGGACCTTTTGCCAAAAATAGAGGGGGGAAAAATCTTCTCAACTCTCTTCTGTGATGTAGCATAATGCTATGGGAAAAGCATATCTGGGCTCTGAAACAGAGTGATGTGTAAGACTATAGTCACACTGTTTCACTCTTAGAAACAGAGACACTATTTTGCTTCACAAAACAGCTCCGGGGACATTCATTTGAATCTTCATCAGCTCAAAACATCCCTCAAAGCTTCACTAAATCCTAATATATAAAATACATACAGATCTTGATGTTATAAGCCATAAGGGTTGCCTTGCAGAGTAATAGACGGCAAACAAATGTAATAAATAAATAAGACAACAATATGACAGTCATAAAGCCCATTAGGGCTTCTTTCCAGATAAGAAGGGTATAGGACTGAAGCATATCTCTGTTCCACATTAAGAATGAAAGAACACACATGAATTGCAATGTTCAAGTTTTGACTGTGCTTTTCTACAGAAGACGAAAAGGATGAGGGCATAACCATGTCTGCCATTTCTAGTGAAAGACCAAATCCTCCTCCTAATGGAGACCATTGTGAAGTTACAGATGTCCTTGTTGATAGTACCCCCAACACTAGTAAGTACAGAGACATGAGTGTTGTTATTATACAACAGAAAATAAATGTATCTGTGTTGTTCTAAAAGCTGTTTTCCCTATTATCTACTTTGGCATGGAGATGAACTACATCTCTTTCCAGTATCTTTTGAAATAAGCCATCTTTTGCACTTATTGCAAGTGCAATAAGAAATCTTGGAACAGTTTCTATGTAGCGATTGTTCTATTTGTACATGTATTGTTTTAAGCAATTGTTTATATAAAGCATACTTGCTAAAATGGATCTCATGTCCCAGAATTCCTTGTCAAATGCTTACTCACAACATCAAGTCAAGTAAAACTGATTTTCTTTGTTAATAAAAACAGTTATATATAACCTATGATTTCCTGAAGACTTCCTCAAATAAATGGAGCTTAAATAATCCATAAACAGCTTCACAAGAAATAAGCACATTTAAGTTCAAGAATTTGGTTCTTGTGTTTTAATGTTAGTGTCATTTACAAGAATGAAAAGCAAGATAAGATGAACATTTGATTAAATATTTAAGCAAATGTACACAATGCTAAATTATATACTTTATGAATTTTTCTGACATTCTTTTAAAGGTGCACAAATCTGTGAAACTTTCAAACCAGACCTCAAGGAGAATCCAAATCCTTCAGTGGGACCTGACGTGAAATCAGAATGCAGAAGAGAGGAGAAAGTGGGGACAGAAACAGAGTTCCAAGAGGACACGATTGACAATGCAGCTCAGGAAGTTATAGATGTCTGTTTTCCTGATCCTATTGATGCTTGATCCAATGTGCTCTTTTTGTCTTCTCCAAGTCTGGGGAACTGGGGCTTCTTCATTCCAAGCTTTCTCAGAATAGTATAACATCCTTTATAAATTACTTGCCTGCTAATATCATAAGCCTACAAGCCATTTAAAATCAGCCCCAAGTGTGTTTTCTGCTGTGTTCCTATTCCTAAGGGCATTTATAGAAATGATATAGATATGAGAAATCTAAGTATCAGATACCCTTCTCCCCAAATTGGAATAATTTCCCTTCCAAGTCAATGTTTGGCTTTCAATCTCCAAGATTCCTGTTTCATCTTAAGGAGACATACAAATGATGAAATTCTTTTGAAGAATTCTAGCTCTTTTTACACTGAAATCAGAATCAATAATTCTGTAGAAAATTTTAAGCTTCCCTGCTGAAATGTTTAGCTGTAGCAGATTTTTGTGATTAAACATAATGTCTATTTATTTCTGTGCTAAGTGTTTACATGAACCAAAACTGGTTCTTGAACCATCAAATCTAGGGGTTAGCAGCAGGCTCATTAAGCTACACAGGATGTTCTCAAACTGCCTATGACATTTTGGGTCTTCTGCAACTCTTTCAACAGCAGACCATACACTAATGTTTGGGATCCAGAGATTTGCCTCATCCCAGAATCGTCTGAATTATGAACAAACCCCCTTTCACCACATTTTTATAATGCTGAGAGTGAGGATTCTAATCATATATTTCTCTTGGACATTTGAAGAGAATTATGCAAAAGTATTTTTCTATACATACTCTAGTTCTTCATGTGTGACTAACAGGTAGAGAATAACAGAACATTTCCCTGATCACCATTTTTGCCGATGATATCATCTTAAATCCAGTTTTTCAGCAACATTTTCATAATTTTCTCATCTTTATTTAAGATGTGCTTTGTGTTTATTTTAAAAATAAAGAATAGGTATATTTTGAGTTTATCTGTCTTGTGAATCTTGTTGAATGTGAAAAAAGTTTATAGAAGGTGTCCTACTGTGGAACTTTGTGAACAAGTTTATATAAGAAGATAAGACTTCTAGTTACAATAGCTATCGGTACAAACAGCTTAAAGGATCAGTGCTTCATGCTTCTAAAACCATCCTCCATTTTCTGAAGGACGAAACCAAGAGAAGTGATTGTCCCCATATTGTCTTGTGTATTTTCTGTAAATGTCAGATGAACCACTGTGGGAACTATGATGCTGAACATGCTATTGGGTAAATCAGCAACAATTTTATGCTGATCTTGCCATAAGGAAAAAAAAAGAATAAAGCTTTTATTTTTTTTAAAATGACATAGGCCTTAATTTTATGAGAAATTGAATCTAAAAACTCTTCCTTTCAGGGAAGAAAAATGTTCCAACAGCTTGGTCTGCTATCAAAAATAAATACAGTTTGCAGGAGTGTATACTATAATATGAATTGGATGTATCCAGTACACTTAAAAAAAGAAAACAAGCAAACAATTTGGTGATGACAAATACAGCTTTGGCATCTGTTAAAACCACCATTTAAAGTATCATACTCTGAAAGATTTTAAGAATAATAAACAAGAGGCAGAGATAAAGCTGTTTTTTCTTCTTCTACTTTATTGTCATCCAAGCCTTGTTTATGCTTTTTCTTTTCAGAGAAACATGGTATATAAACATGGCATATAATAATAGTTACTTTGTTTGCAAAGTTTATTGACCACTTGCATATAGTTTATATGTATATATGTATTTTTCATCTTCCTAAAGGCTTTAAGGTAGATTTGGCCAGGCTCATTGGGAATTATACAATTGTTGTTGCTAGTTGCGAAGTCGTGTCTGACCCATCGCAGCCCCATACAATTAATACAATTAAATATTGTGTTACAATATTAATACAATGTACATTAATACATTAATACAATGTATTAGTACTCTTAATACAATTAAGAGTAGCAATTAGGAAAAAGTACCTAAATCAAAATGAAAGTATTCTGGTGATAGGCATTTTTAGAGGAACCCTTTGGACAATAAAACAGACACTTCCTGCTTTTGAATGAGGAGCGTCTTTACTACACCAAGGAAGATGCAAAGAAAACGCAGGCATGAGGAAGCTGTGTATATTCTGCTGAATAGCTAGAGCTTGCTGCTTTGCTTAATTCCCTCCCCCCCTTTATATTGCAATAATACAATGTCTGAAAAATAATTCACCTGTAATGCTTTGAGCTGTATTCACACTGTGGTGATTTTTTTATGATGCTGTCCTTCACTAATAAAGAGGTTGTTTTATATACCTAGAACGAGGAGTTGGATTCTTTGTATTAACCACTTATTTTTCAACATTGGCTAAAATTCTTACCTCACAGCATATTCAGCAATCTTGACATTTTTCTAAACCAGGAGTCACCTTTATCCTCCAGCAACCCAAAGCTGGTTCTCTTGCCAGTCTAATTTTACTATTCCATTTCCCAGAGAAGAGAAAAAATCCTGAGGGTTATGTACAAACAACAATCCTATTCATACTTATTCCCTGTTATTATACGTGTGAACATTAAATTCTATATTCCATCTGGAAATTCCTTCCACTAATTATTTTCCTACAAACGTTACAAGGCAGATTGAGTTAAAAGAGTCTTGACATCACCCAGGAACCGGCGATGGACTTGAATTTGGATCCTTTCAGTCCTAGTCTTACCTTACCTACTCCACACTAACTTTCATTGTTAAGTACACTGGCACCAAATTTATTTTAAAATAAGGGGAGACACTGATCTTTAATTCTTTGCTTCTTCACTTTAACTGGCAGCATGGTACTACCTGCTCAATAAATGAATCAGAAGCTAAATGCATACATGTATAAAACTGATTGCACCATGATTAATCTTCAGGATTGGCTTCATGAAACAGCCTTAAGTTATCATTAACTGTCCTAGTGTTAAAGCTTACATTATTCTACCACAGCTTCATAATGTTTAAAACTGTCCTGCTTCATCACTTCTTACTTTGAAGAGGAAATCAGGTGATTGATTATGCATAATTGTAGATATAGGAATGGGACTTTGGAAAAGTGTAGGCATGCCCTCTTTCTTCTGCCTGTACTGTCCTTCTTCATGGTGGCAGCAGGCACTTAGGTCCAGGTCACCGTCAGTATCTTTTTATGGGAAGAGGAACTGCCTATAATCTTGAAAAAGGCTGACCTATGCCCCATTCTGAAAATATAGGGTCTTTCATAACTAAACCCAGTCTTCTACTTCAGCATCAATTTTGCAGGACCAACATTTTTCTTAGATCTTAGCCAAGATGTTATTGCCTTTGTCTAGCTGGTTTTTGATAATTCATGTATGTTTTCATCCACTACCAAAACATAAATGAAGATAATCTTATTGCATGTAGAATTGAATTAGCCATTAGCATCTTGAGCCTATGCAATTTGGTTACCTGACAAAGGGATGAGCAAATGAAGTAAAAACTACAATCAAATTGGAGGTCTCTCTTCTTTGTAATGATCTACCTAATATTTTTACTATATATCTTTGACACAGTTATATGGAGATATAATCTCATGGCCCTGGTTAACAGTTTCTGCTTAGCCTTGATCTAAAATCTTAGATCCCAGCAGTTAGTCAGGTTAAGTTTTCTAGCTCTGTAGACCTAGCTTGTAAAGGTTCTTAACCTTGTATGCAATGGGTCAGGGCTACCTTCTATTTTCTCATGAGAACTTGTTTTTTTTTTTTTTTAAGCTATGGAAGACAAGAGAGTAGGAGAGATGACATCCATTCTCAGAGGTAGTACACTTCTCATTAAAAAGGCAGGGGATAGAGAAGCATGGAAAATATGAGAAGGCTTCAAAGGATGAGAAGGTAAGAAAGATGATTTGGATGTACTTCAACGAAGATCCAAAGAAGTGGAGAGACACTGAAGGACTTGGCTTCAAGATAAAGATGACTTCTGTGGGAAGCTGTAGTGAAAGGAAGTCAGTTTCCTAGTTTCAACATCAGAGTGTTGCTAGTGCTAGTCATGGTATTTAACCTTATATTTTATTTTATTAAATTTATATCCTTTTCCAATCAGAATTGCCTCTTTGTGGTATACATACTAAAGCCAGAATTAACACATCTATTTATCCTGTAAAACAGGGATGTCAAACTGGATTTCTTTGAGGGCCAGATCAGCATTGTAGTTTTCCTCTGTGGACTGGGGGGAGGGCATGGAGTGTGTGTGTGTGTATGAGAGAGAGATGGGACAGATGCTTCCTGCAGCACTTTGCTGGCAAAAATGGGGCATGGGGGAGAAATGTGCAGCCCTCTGAACCACGTTTTTGGTATCTATGGCCTCTTGCAGCACTTTGCTGGCTAAAAATGGGTTATGAGAAAACTCCGTGAGGTCTCCACATGGCCTATTTTTGGGCTCCCTGGGCTCCAGCAGCACTCTGACAGCCAAAAACGATCTATGTTTTTGACTGGCAGAGTGCTGCAGGAGGCCAGGGAGGCCCAAAGCAGGCTGTGGGGGAGTTGCATGCATCCCCCCCATGGACCATTTTGGCCAGCAGAGGCACCGTGGACCAGTCCTTTCATATTTCCAGGCCAGCCCTGTGAACCAGATTAAAACACCCCACATGCCAGATCTGGTCTGTGGGCCTTGAGTTTGACACCCCTAAGGTAAAATGTGCACATATTATGTAGAGACATGATTAACCTTAAAATGATTGAGCAGACTTCATAAATCAAGTATTTTGTTTACCTTTTACTGCTTATCAGAAAGACGGATGAGGAAAGCAGGAAAGACGAACAAAGGAAATCATCTTAATAAGCTGCTGCTTAACTGCTGTAATTAAATACTGCTTGTAATTAAATACTTGCTTTCCATGCCTGCAGATGAAACTGGTATCTGGCCTTAAGTTGTTAATAAAAGCAGGAACCCTCCTCTCCCACTAGTGTGGTGTAAATTGAAGCAGATCCCATGAACTCATGAAGTCCCTTTGTACAATCATAGCAGAATTTGCTTCTCTTCCTTTGGGGTTCTCCTGTCCTGCTGTCTTCCTCTATGCTTCCATTTCACTTAGTAGTAGCTTGGGAAACAGCATGAAGGCTGAGAGAAGAGAAACCACCCCAGGAAGCGCAGCTCAGGCAGAGTTTCAAAGTTAAATATCTCCCACTTATATCGCAGTGTCCTATTGGTAAATGCAATTTTTAAAACTTCATTGATATTATGATGAAAGAAGGTGGAAGTAAAGCCACTTGTTATCAACCTTCCTTGATAACAAGTGACACAATCCTTTTCAAGACAAAAGCCCTGTTTGGCAATGGAGCACAACCGATGCAACAGGGAAGCAGAATAAGATAAAAGATTATTAAAATTGTTTTGTGCTGACTCAGAGATGAATGCATTGGGCTTGAACACAAAATCAGGGAAAGGACCAAAAAGTATGCACTATGTTATTTTCACCTTGTAGAGATAAAAAAAACTAGCCTTAACAATCTGACTGGACTCCTGTTTTTCTGGGCAGCAAGAAGGAATTGCCCCTGCTGCCTTCTAAGATATGTTTTTTACTTGTTAGAATAGATCACCCAGCCCTGGGTATTCCTTAATGGTTATCCAAATCAAGTAATAACAAGTCATGCCTCTGTTTAGCTTCTGGGCCAGATGAGTTGCCCAATTAACAAAGACTAATTATGGGACTGTGTAACCTCCAGGAGTTGCTAAACACTGCATTTTAATGTGTGGCCAGTTTTAATGGAGGTTGAGAAGATTCAATGTCCAGTTATTGACCAGCATACTTTTCATCACTTGCTTTGATTGCTTTCTTTCAGTTGTTATGGGTCGGTAGTATTAAGATATAATATTTCTGTCTGGGAAAAGCAACTTGGTGGTATACAAGTTACCAAGAATTCTAAGAATTTATTATGCTGAGTAGTTTAATTATAAATAGTTTAACATGCATTCAGGAGCTACATTAAGCACGAGACAGCTGTGCAATTTGACAACATTGCCACCAGGTGACAGCAAAGGGCAAAACTTCAGTATTTGAAGACTTCAGAATGGAGAGGGCATAGTTTTTGCTTGTGCTTCTTTGTTCTCTACCCAAATGTACTTGCTGCAGAAGTGAGTTGGAAGGATGGAAGGAGAGAGGGGGGAGGGGAGAGAGGGAGAGGGAGGGCAGGGAGAGCTGAAAAATGCCAAGGTGAGGAAAAGCATAATTAAAGTATAAAAAGTTGAAATGATGCCTATTTGTAAACATATAACATATGTAGTTTTGTAAATTTAACTAGGAAAAGGTAAATATTTCTGTAAACATGAAACCTAAATTCAAAGAAGACTTTCTAATTTATAGATCATTTCTGCAGTGACCTTGACTTCTTTAATTCCATTATTATGAATTACATCAGTCATTACTAACTACCACACTCCTGCAGAGATGCTGCAAATCACACCACACTTTGGGAAATAATCATTCATTAATAGCTGATATTTTGTGTAAGAAAGACTAATACAAGAAGACCGAATTCAATACTGACAAGTTTGGAGTGCAAGCTGTTCTATCACTTTCAAAATGCTTGCTCCATTAGAAGCCAGCTTAGAGCTTAGTAAATATGGAGCTAGATATTAGCCCTTATTCGTTGTTTTATCCAACCTTTCTGCAAGACCTATTTCAAAGTGAATAATTAAAAAAAGAAAACCCATAAAGCAGATGGACTACCAATAAAGAAAATGTAGGGCTTTCCCACACATACGCCTAACTGCAGCATTGATGTTGTCCAGAATAATCTTTTTCTTTTTGGGTCTCCATGGCATTGTCTTCATCTTGTTGAAGAATAAGTCAGAGTTATGTTGTTTTTAATCATTCTGGTATTGAAGAAGACTTTACTCCTTTATTCCTACACAGCCCAGAGGCAACTTCTACTTGTCTAAAATTTGTTTTACTTGCTTGCTTATTATTTGGGCTGGACAGTCAATGGCATGGTGGCCTAGAAGTGAAGATGCTCACCTCCCACTTAGAAGGTTGACAGTTCAATTGCAGGGAATGGCATATGTTTCTATATTAGGGTACAAAGATAAAATATCTGCTGTGAACTCTGTGCAGGTATCAGGAAGTATTCAGCATTCAGGCAGTAAATGCTCAGTTACATTTTGTCAACTCCACCCCAAATAAAGGGGTTAAAGGGAAAAAAATAAGCTGGAGGGAAGTTAGAATGTGCCTGGGAACAGAGCAATATAGGCCAAATAAGGATCAGCAGTGGGGACAGCAATTTCATGCTATTTTAAGGGTTTGCTCACCCAGGTTTGGAGGGACAGCATGGGGAAAAGGCTGCAGATGACAGAGGATTATTTTTTAACAGAAGAGAATCATAAAGTATATTAGGTTTGGAATTGCAACTATTCAGTTACTGGTCTTGTCTATCTTTCAGCCTAACTGTCCTATAAGATTGTTGTAAAGATAAAATGGGGAGAAAGGGGGGGGAAAGGAAGGAAGGAAGAAAATAATACTTATTTCTCATTTGTGTCTTGCCTAATATTGCTTACACCAGGAGTAGGCAATGTGTGGCGCTCTAGATACTGCTGCATTAGGTGCAACTCTCAGTGTTCCCAAACAGTGTAGCCAATGGGAAAGATGCTGAAATTTGTATTCAGCAGCATTTGAAATGCCACAGACATTATCATTTGCAGGTGCTTTAGCCAAATGTATGAGCCAGTAAAGTAATAATTCATTTCCGTAGCCTAGGATGGACATGCCGCATTGAGAATAGTCTAGGTAACATAGGTTCAGACTGAAAAAGCTAGTTAGATAACTAGCGAAACATTTCAAACTAAAAAGAACAAAGTTCAGTTGCCATGATTCAACTTCCAGACAACCTAGGTAAAATAATTTGCTATTGCAAGGCTGACAGTACTTTTCCATAGAATGTTGTTTTACCCTTCTTGGAAGAAATGTCCATCTGGGTTCACTTCCAAGTGGGAAGAAAGACACTGGAAACATGGAGACTACTTGGAAGGATGATTTTAATGGTGGACAGGACCACATTGAGGTCCTGGGTAAAAAAGCACATGGATGAGAGAGGGAGAGAGATTTATAACCTCTATTGGGCTTTGAACTTGCTTCCTGTTCCTGTGGCAAGAAAGTATCCTTGGGGCCTTGGGGCCATGCAGGGGTAACTTTGCAGCTTGTCTTGAGTCCCAAGCTTGGTTGAATTTTGTTGGGTGATGCAACATTTCCTGGTGCCATGTGGTGAGATGGGTAGAGGGTTAATCCTATCATGTCCTGATCCCATCACCCTGGTGCTGAAGGGGGAGCAGGGAGCTGCGGGAAGCTGCTTTGTCTTTAAAAATATGTTTCTCCTTTTCTCATCCAGGGAAATATAATATTCTGCCTTTTTAATATTTCCTAGAATATTTCATTCTTCTGGAAGGGGGTAGGTGCTAACTTTCTACACCCTGCACTGTACATTTTTTAGAATCTTGATTTGTTTTACATTTCTGATATATTTTATAAAAATAAAAAAGCAACATTCATTTTTGTTTCTGTTAGGCATGTGGAAACACTATAGCGGTGGTTTTTTTTGAACTAGCTTCCTGTTCCTGTAAGTGAAAGACTGTTGAGATTCAGAGAACTTGTTGATTTTGAGAACCCTTTTATGGTGATCAGAATAACTTTGCAACTGTGCACTGAGATAAAGCAGAATAGAATGATAACCAGAATGCAGTGACACCTGGATCTTGATAACTACTTTTTTAGCTATTTTATCATGCTAATGACTCATGTGTGACTTGTATCTATTAAAACCACAAGCCAGAATATGCAGCTTTTTCATTGGCCAGAGTTACCTATCTGTTTACGGAAATTTTCAGCTATCATCCAGGTCGTGGTTGTCCCAAAGGTGCTTTTTTTCTAGAAAAACAAAATCCAGTTGCCATTTGAAAAAGCACCTTTGGAACAATTTGTGCAGTCTAAATGCATACATTTCATGTTATTTCCCATCACTTTTTACCTATCTGTGAAAACTTAAAATATTAGGCTAATTGCTACTATCTGTTATTGTCATGGAACACATTATTTCTTATTACTTCTCCTAGTTTCTGCAGCTCAATTGCTTGGTTTATAATAATTGGGAGAATTGTGAACTATTATCTAAAATGAGTTACTAAAACCGACACTGAGGTTTTAGTAACTCATTTTGATAAAGGTAACATAAACTTTGAGCTCCTTCATAATATATGGAGAATACAGTGGTAAAAGAAATCAGTTCCATGATGAAGGATTACTAAAGTAACTCTCCAACGCAGTAGAGGATGAATTACACAAAGAATGCAACTCTGTGAATACAAGCTTTTGTTACATAATGCTATTGTCTATAGTAATTCCAAAAACTGTATAGACATGATTGCCAACCTTCCTTTTTAGCAGGATGTTTGTAACTTTGGAAGTAACCTTATGGAGAACTGAATTAAACAGCTTTCCATGGGATATAAATATTGTTTAAGTTATGTTATAATAGTCAGGCAGTTTGCAAAGACACAAAACTAGAGATGGTATTCAGCAAGTTCTGACCAGTTCTGGAGAATCGGTAGCAGAAATTTTGAGTAGTTTGGAGAAGCGGCAAATACTACCTTTGACTGGCCTCACCCACATCTTGTTCAATTTTTCTTTGAAATCATAGAAGAAAATAAAGATTTTGGAAGGAAAGGAAAAAACATCAGTTGTATATTTTTGCAATATCTGCTTATAAAGATACTGATAGCCATTATAACTGACTCTGCTATTTTCATTGTTAGAGAAAGTGCAGATGGCATGGGTGATGGGAGGGAGGGAAACAGAAAGAGAAAACGGAACAATGTGATTTATGTGTGTCAGATACTGCAGATGGTATCATATGCTCCCTTGTCTCTCTTGATAAATACAGCCTTAAACATGAACTTGGACAAGCCATTTCTAATTAAATTCCTAATGATCTTGTTCAGCTTGGAAGGTGAGTTTAAAAATACATTCTTTGAATTTATTTGCAAATGTGAAGAACTCTTATCGCAAATGTTTTCACTGTAGTAACAAAGTTATTACAGTTTAATATTTTTTAAAATAACATTTTTGAAAGTGAACAAACAGCATTGAGGGGCTAAGATTTTGGACTTAGAGGTATCAGTGAAAAGTTAGTGAATGTCCTTAAGCTAGTCTTTGAGACATTGGATTTAGAGAAAAAGATTGGTCCAAAACCTCCCATTTAGTTCCTGCAACTGAGAGTGGACTAAAACCTGGGTTCTCCTAGTCCAAGTCTAACATCTTAATTACTATTTTAGACTGACAGCTATTAAGATTGGAAATGAGCCTCCTAGGATTTAGTAGAGTTTGGGTTTTGTACAATTTTATTGATGTTTATAAAAGTCAGCTATAGACATTGTAGAAGTTATGGAACATATGATGCAATATTGTGAATACTTGATTATACCCAGCAGTTTAATACAAACATTTACAAAAAGGTTATGGGAGCAAAATAGTAATGTAATGCAAACACTGAAAAACAAAAAACCTGAAATAGTTTAGAATCCGCTGAATTGGTTTCTTAAAAATTATATTTGTAATACGCAATAAAAACGGAACACTTCCATCAAAATTTCAGTTGATACTCTTTTCAGATAGGCTTTTATTATTTGGAAAATATTAAACTATATACACATTAAATGATATACATAAACTATAAAATACCATACTGAACCTCATTTGAAATAAAATAGAATCCATTTATTTACCATCTTTACTGTCAAATTAAGTTGATTTTTCTATAACAAAAGCTCTGAAATGTAGCTTTTATAGTCTTCCTAAATATTAGAAAGGTTATCTTGACCATGGAAGCAAGCTATTCCTGAATGTGAAGCCCTTTCCCTCCTTTTGGTTATATATACCCATAATGCTCCTTCCCAACTGGCCTATACTGGGTGGGTAGATTCTACCTGTCGCTAACAGTCCCAAGATAAATAGGATTGAACCAAAAACAAATTACATTTATCTACAGCAACATTATTATATTGAACTGTTGAAGTTGGGAATAATGTTTGAGAAAATGTTGAATGTGAAATATTTGGTGATAACCTTTCAGACTACCCTTAAGCAGTGCAATGAAAAATATAACTGCCATTCAGAATTTTATCAGCAAAACAAATCAGGAGTCCCAAAGGTGCTTTTTCAAAAGGTAATTGGACATTCTTTGAAGATGTTTCACTTCTCATCCAAGAAGTTTCTTCAGTTCTGACTTGGTTGCTGGAGAATGGAAGGATTTACATTTTTTGCAGACATTCTTTTGAGAGTCGTTGAGACCACTCTGAAGTTTGTCTGTGTCTTCAGGGTCACTTGAGTAATGCAGATGGGTATGGAGCCTTCTTGGAACTGCTGAAAGGACTATGTTGTAGAGCTGTGCTTTGTGCAGGATGTTTTCTGCCCCATGTCCCTTCACCATTGAAAACCAGAAAGTCCAGTTGCCTTGAAAAAGGACTTTTGGGATACCCATGACCAGGATGACTGAGAATTTCCATGGACAAATTAGGAGAGTTGTTCTTTTTCTAATGAAAAACACTACAGACTTCACTTTAACTTAAAAAAAAAAACTTCTTCCCAAATGTGATACCTTTCAGATGTTTTATAATTTAAAATAAGATATTAATGGATTGAAAATCCAGTGCATCTGATTGGCAGTAAGCTGAGAAAAGCTACCTTAACTCTTTGGCAGCCAAACAATAGCACTTAGACTTATATACCGATTCACAGTGCTTTACAGCCCTCTCTAGGCAGTTTACAGAGTCAGCATATTGCCCCCAACAATCTGGGTCCTAACTATTAGGTGCTAATATTGTAGTCTCTTGACTAATTGTGCCATCACCATACTCTAAATAAATAAATAAGCTGCCTTAAATCTCTGGGCAACAAACTATTAACACGAGAAAGAAGAAACCTTTTTAATATGCTTCTGCAGTCAAAAGTGTTCTTTTCATTTCTGAATGTCCCTTCTTAATTGTAAATCATGTGGGGGAAAATTTACAGTTTAGCAGAAACCAGTTTGTGCGAGTTGGAAGAAAAGTTTCCAAATCCACCTGCTTGAATACAGGTTCCGCACAGGGCTGTGTCTTGAGTCTTCTATTGTTCACCTTGATGACCCACAATGCCTGTGCCAAACCTTCTACAAATCATATTGTGAAGTATGTGAATGACATGGCAGTGGTGGGTCTTATCTGGGACGACAGTCAAGATACTTTTAGAGGTGAAGGCTCTGGTGGACTGGTGTAATAAAAGTAACCTGATTCTAAATGTTAATAAAACAAAGGAGGTCATTGTAGATTTTAGAAAGAGCCAGCATAGTCATACTCCACTCAGTATCAAGGATGCAGCTGTAGAGGTGGTCATCAGTATTAAATATCTGGGGGTGCAGATAACTTAACAATCTGAACTGGTCTCTCCACACATCATCGTTAGTGAAAGGTGCAAACCAGCACCTGCATTTCCTGCATTGGATGAGGTGAGCACATCTTTCTTCTTCTGTCCTGGCCACTTTTTACAGAGGCCCAAATGAGAGCGTTTCCACAAATTGCATCCCTGTTTGGTTTGGTGGCAGCAGTGCCTCAGATAGAAAGTCCATACAGAGACTGGTAAGGACAGCCGAGAAGATTATAGGAAGCTCACTTCCTATTATTGAGGATACTGCTTGTAAGCGTTATGTGCTTAGAGCTCAAAGCATTGTTAGAGACCCCACACATGCACTTTATGGTCTGTTTCTGTTGCTCCCTTCTGGGAGGAGATTTTGAAGTATTTCTAGCAGGACTATTGATTCTGTAACAAATGGCATTCCCTATGCCATCTGTCTGTAAACTCACATGTACATACATACATCTGAACTAGATTGTGTTGTTTCTCTGTGTCATATATTATATGTGGATATATATACATAATTTTGCATTTATTTATTTGTCATGTTTATGCAGTGTATATTGGAGGTGGTAACCCTTTGAGAGCTGTATGTAACGGAATTTCATTTTAATGCATGCCAATTAGTGTACATCCAAAGTGACAATAAAGTTATTATTCTGTTCTGTTATGTTCTGTTCCGTTCCATTCCATTCCATTCCATTCCATTCCATTCCATTCCATTCCATTCTATTCTATTCTATTCTATTCTATTCTATTCTAATAAACATATTCACATAGGTCTAATTATCTTTCTGTTTCATTCAGTTTATCACAATTAGGACTGAATGGAATGCATGCGTTATTAACTTTTCCTTCTCCTTGTCATCTTAATCTAATTGGAAACTCACAATTTAAATTAAAGAACATAGCTCAGAATAGGCAGTTTTCTCAATGAAGAGAAATAATAGATTCCTTCAAGGACCTGTGTTTAGACATTTTTAATTTGTTCATAAAAATTAAGGGTAAGCAGTTTGTAGACAATACTAAAATTTTCAGGATGATAAAAAACAAACATAGTTATGAAAAGGATTTTATTAAATTGGATGAATACTCAACTAAATGGCAATTTCAACATTTGGGAGAAATGGAAAGTTAGACTAAAAGAGGTCTATTTTTCATGCCTCAAAGCATTTGTAATGATTTTGGGGGCTTTGTGAAATGTCTATGAGAATAAAGGTAGTCCGTGCTTATGACTGGTTGCTAGGCAACTGTTGAAAGTTACAGCAGATCCAAAAAGCTACTTACCCTCAGGGTCAAAACCCTGATGTCTGGGGTCCTGCCATGGTCACATGACTGCATTTTAAATGCTTGTTAACCTTCTGCATTTATGATTATTTGCAGTACCCCATGATCACATGACTGCAATTTTGGGCATTTTTGACAGAAACTGGTGTTTATTTTTGGTTTCTGGCAAAATCCTCCCCATAGCGAACAACGGATTTACTCAATGACTGTGTATTCAGTTATCAACTGTGACATTTGCTTTGCGACCACCGTGTTTGCTTGATCGCAGCCACAAAAATGTCATAAAATGATATCTGGTCCCTTGGTGACCCACTTTATAACTGTTACGGTTGAAATTGTGGACTCAATTCTTGTTGTGACTACCTGTATTCTAGTTTTTCAATATAATTCTTCCCACAGAAATTGCTTTAGTCAAATAAAATAATATATCCATGGAAATAACTGAAATCTACATGGAACAAAAAATTTAGAAAGAGTCCAGTTTTCTATAGCATATATTTGTTTGTTTGTTTGTTTAACAAATTTATGTGGTCATCCAACTCACACATGATGACTCCAGGTATATACAGCAATAAAAATATCACAATTTAAAACTTTTGCCATCCCCTGAGGCTATGAACACCATCAAACAAGCCACTTGATCAATCGGAACCATTTTTGGATTCCCAGAAACATGTCTTCAGGGCCTTTGAAAAAGTGACAATCTTACCTGCATTTCTTATGTACACTTTTCCATCACTTTTGGTTTATTAAGGCAAGTGTGTCCTATGTATTGGCCATATGAGATAAACCAGTTAGGGATGACAACCAGATAACATAGTTCTACTTTATTATAAAGCTACACTGATAAAATTTTCCAAGTCTGAAAGTACAATCTCACCCCTGTCTCCTTTACAGCCTGAGAAACTAGTGAGGGTCTCTTCTGAACTTCTTGCTCTGACCAGCATCCAGTTATGAGCTATGCTGTCTCTTGTTTGATTATTCCTTTCGTAGCATCTCTTTGTCATCTCACAAGGTCATGTTCTCTGTGTCCAGAATCCCAGAAGCATTTGTCTTTCTGGGCAGGGAATTCGCCTGTTTCAGCCTTCACAGTCGGCTATGTTTGCATAATATTGTGCCAGAGTATAGGCCATCCAATGGTTAGGTATGTCAGTATTAATTAAATATGTCATAAGGAAGACAGAATACCTGTTGGATTCACTGGCAATAAAGGTTGGGGGCCTGACTAGGTCCAATTATTGGGCTGATCATATGCTGAGTAGAAAACCTAGACAGAAAGCCGAAGATGAGATTTTAGTTGCCACTGCCTTTTTCCATGTGAATTAAAGTAGTTAATGGAGCAAAGCTAAAGGGAAAATGAATAATTTGAATCTATAGTTGAGTATGATCACCTACATTCTAGCCTCCATTTTCATGAGGCCTGTCTCTAGTCTTGGGGTGCTATAAGATATACATTTTGGGACCTAAAGGGTCAATATTTTTAAAAAATGGATTAAACATCTAATGGTGTAGAATTGGAAATGGGACTCAGCTGGGCACCATAAAGAAGTTGTGCTATTGGCTCAGTTTTGAATAGTTTGAATGTTGCAGATATATAGTGGCTTCCTCTTGTCTTGAAATTCAAGGATGGCAGATGAATTCCTCTGTGCATTTTCAACAACATAGTTTCCACAAGGTTTCCTACTATTGGTAGAAAGAAGGATTACCCCAGGTATTTGAAACAGGAGGCTTGGTCGGTCTTGTGACCAAGGTTCTTGGGCCTTTTGGCAAATGCCATGATTTTGGTTTTCTGATAATTGAGTACTAATTAGTCTTCCTTGCAATACCATGTTAGTATTCTCAATGCCCCCCTAGGGCAATAGGTGTTTTTGAATCATCTGCATTATAAGCACAGAATAAAACAGAGAAATGTCGTCCAGTTTGGGGGCTGGAAAGTTTGTATTGAGATCTCTCATCCTGGAGTTGAATTATACAGCCTTGCTTGACACCTTTCTCATTTCAATGTGGTCCTAGGAATTAAATTTATAATTCTAAATCCTAATACTTCCTTTAAAAGTCAGCTGAATGACTTTGGCCAATCACTCTCTTCGAACCTTGGGATAAAGACTAATCCCAAAAATGTCACCAATAAAACTGCAAGGACTTATTTGCATAGTCACCAGGAATCAAAAGTGACTTGAATTCATCATATATATTTTTTACAAAATATTAGAATTTTTCAAAGTCAGTGTATTATATGTTCAATTTATGCATGTTTAAAATTAAACAAAAGGAAAATTGAAGCAATGGGGACTTTAAACAGCTGATCCCCCTACTTAAACCAACATCTAATATGGCAAACAATTAAAAATGGGGTTAGATATGATTGATATTTGGATGGAGAACATCAGAAATCTCAGAGCAATAAACTAGCTTGGAAAGTTAAAGAAAACATTCTGAAAAAGACATCAAACTGTTTCTGTATAGTTGCCAGAGAAAACAACTTGGGTATACTTAAACATTTGTCATTTATTCAGTGAAGTTGTTATCTTTAACTGTGTATATATGTGAGTAAAAGGGAAGTTGGTTTGGATAAGTTAATTTTTTTAAAAAGTAAAGTTCTATTGTGCATATGCATGTTAACACAGGAACATAAGAAACAATGGATGGCAACTAACCAAAGAGAGAAACAATTTAAAACTAATGAGAGATTTCCTAACAGAACAATCAATCAGTTTTTAGAAGTTATGGATGCTCCAACACTGGAGGTTTTAAAGAAGATATTAGATAATAATGTGAAATGGTATAGGGTTTCTTGCTTGATTAGAAGACCTGCAAAGTCAATCCCAATTTTGTTATTCTGTTATAACAGGCTTTTCTGAATGCCAATCATTATGAAACTTGTCCCAAAAATACAAAACACCACTGATTTTAATATAATTGCTTCTGTAGGGACCAAACACTTTCTATACTTACCATTGTTATATATACGAACTACTTTAAATCAAGGCAATGTGTTTAACACTGATGTTAATTTCTTTGGAAGATGAAACCCTGTATATTATAAGATATGCAGGAAACTGATAAAATTTAAAAAGCAGTAAGCACATATTTTTCCATTTATAATCTAAAGAACAAAATGTACATTTTTTTTGTAGGTCCTGTGTCCATGAATGACAAGATTCACGGTGGTTCAGTGTCCATGAATGACAAGATTCACGGTCGTACAGGAAACCAAATTATTCTTTCTGCACCCAAACACAGTACCAAACCATTTTATTTAATATGGACTAAGAACTCTACATTTATTGCAGATTATTCAGATAATAGTATTACATTATCAACAAAACAACCAGAACCAAACAAATACTACTTATTTCTTAATGGAAGTCTGAAAATAAATAGATTGAGGAAAATGGATGCTGGAAATTATGAAGTAGAGGCATATACTGAAACTGGCAAGCATTTATTTCATGGATTAATTACATTGCAAGTTGATGGTGAGTTTTTGAATACCAAACTACCCTTCATCAACCTGTGAGCATCTTTGTTTTACTTCTTTTCTCCTTCATATTGGCACTTTGGATTGGCCATAGTTGCATTTCTGTGGGCAGTGATATTCCCATACGGTCTTTACTGTAAATTTTTAAAAATTGATCAGCATTAATAAGAGAGACAACCCTCAGGAAATAATGTCTTAAATGCCCAAGTCTCTAACAAATACCAATAGATTGAAATCAGCTAAGAAAACTTGACTGCTACTGGAAAATATTCAACACTGACATAACATGATGCCATAGTTCAATTAGTAGGCAAATGCCTGCAATTTGTGTGTGGAGGAAGTATTTTCCCCCCATAGGATCAGAAATGTTGCTGTACTGATAGCAGTTTCTTGAAACCCTAAAATGACATTTCCTAACAGTCTCATATTGTTGTTAGATGTTGTATGGGACCAGAAAGTATGGAACATCATAAAGCAGGGGTAGGAAATCTGTGGCCTTCTAGAAGTTGTTGAATAACAACTTCCAGCAGTTCCAGACAGCTTGGCAAATAGGGAAGCCAAGCTTTCTAGTTTAGCAACATCTGGAGAACCATCCATTTCCCATCCCTACCTTGGGGTAAAAAATAATCTTTCAGCCCACTACATGCATACAATCCAAAACAAAGAATTAAAACAATGCATAATCTTGCTGTGGAATGTAAGAATAGCCAAAAGGATATAATAGACAAAATATTGTTCTACGCTGGGACAACAGTGAAAAATAAAAGATTAAAATCCCTCAAGCATGATTATAATATTTAGACTTATATATTGCCCGCAACAATCTGGGTCCTCATTTTACTGACCTCGGAAGGATCGAAAGCTGAGTCAACCAGGATCAAACTTCTGGCCATAGGTAGAGTTAGCCTGAAATACTGCTTATGCCACTAAGCCACCAAGGTTCTGCATGGAAATAGTAGTTGAAAAGATAAAGATTTAATTCTTTATTATTCAATTCTTAGATTAAAAATGTTTTTTTTTAAATAATGGTGTGTTTAAATCATTTAGCACAGCATATTTATTTTCTTTCAGAGCTTCAACCAAAACTCAATGAACTTTGTCCTCAAAAAACATTGACATGCGAGGTGAAATATTCTGAGAAACCAAAACCCAGATTTAAATTGTTTCAAGATACTAAAGAAATTGAAACGCTTGAACCAGTATATGACAATGCAACATGGAAGGTGACATTGCAATTAAAAGTCCATTCTGGAAAATTCAGATGTGAGATTGATGTTAATTCTGAGAAGTATCATATCGAGAAACAAATAACATGTTCAGGAGAAGGTAGTAACTTAACTTCATAACACACTTCTAAATGCTAGACTGTATCGCCTGGAATATTAAATATGTAAACCATAATACAGTTTATTTAATTTCTGGCTTAATGTTCAGACTGAGTAGTTTGCCAATTGTACGGTAATTTTTAACATGAATCAAATCAATTGTGACCACATTTCTAAATATATTTAGTACCTGTAATTGTAACAGAGCCAATCTGTTGCATTACTAAATGTTAAATGAAATTGTGGTTTGCTTGTTTATGCCAACTGTGAAATATTCAAGAAACCATTTTTAAGGAAGCCATGAATAAATGCTTTGTATTTTTCCCTTATTTTTATCATGTCAGGCAGAAAAAATAATAGACTTTTTTTCTGTTTTGTATATGCTCACTTTCCTTCTCTATGTGCATGCATATATATGTATAAGTACACACATACAATATTTTCTTATGAGTTTTTCTGTGTTTCAGATTTACTTGATTCAGGAACTATGTTCATTATCCTGATGATTACGGGAAGTGTAGTCACATCAATCATCTTTTTGGCTCTGATTGTTTACTGCATCAGAAGGAAGAAAGTAAAAAGATGTGAAAGGGAAGGTAAGCCTGGCATTCTTTCCATTTAAAATCAAACAAATATTTCTCTTTCAAACAACCAAGCATGCTAAATCTATTAGTCACTATGAAATATATATGCTCTAAATCAATTTCTAGATATATATTAATAAAAATTAAAGTTCAGGTCTGGCTCATGGAGGAAGGGGAGAAAGGAAACACGGACAAAATACAGCATTTTACTTAATGTGTCCAAAAAAGCCTGATTTTTATAAAAGTGTGTGGTTTTTTTTTCTTTGCTCTTCACCCTGGTTTCTACATTAAAAATAAAATAATATGTTATTTTGATTGCAAATTGAATTGGTTTGTCAAAGATGAAACTCATTAAAGTGGGTGCATGATTTTTTTCCCTTCGCTAAGCAATTTTTTAAAAAAAATCTCATTGAGTCTTAAATACTCTGTCATGGAACATATTTGAAAGATTAGCGAAGAGTAGATAAAAACTAGATGTGATTTTGTTAAATTAACCTTTAAACAGTATTAAACTTGGGTTAGTATGATTATGTTTAAATTTGTCTTGTCAAATTAAACAATAAAATTTAATATTGTACTTTTTTCTGTCATAAACTTCACAATTCTGTTCTGGCTTCTAATTAGTGGGTAGATACTAGTAGAAAATTTCTTCAGTCGCTGGGGCAATACAGTATAGTATTTCTCCCTGTCTTCATCATTGAGCAGGATTTCCCAACAAAATCTACTCGGTCAGCTTCCTTGGGTACTTTTGGCAATCCCCACTACTCCAACAGGAAGATAAAGGTTGAAAGTCTTTCAGAATTATTCCCATTAATTGACTTTTTATTCTTTGGATTACAGATGACTTTCTTGTTCCTCAAATTCTTTAGTTTGCCTTTAAGGAATAGGAGCAATCCTCTGATTGGACTCTATGGCTTCTGACTAGCCTTGGTAGTCTGCCTTTTATATTGTATATTGTTTAATTTTATCTGATTTAATTACACATATTTTGTTAGTAACATTTAGGATCCAGTTTATTTAAATTTTTTTATGATAAAGGCCTTTTTTGTATTTTACAATTTCTATAGAGATGTGCTACATAAGATTTTTGTACAGTACATCTATTTTGTACTTTTGTATATTTCAATTAATTGATATTCTTTATTTCTGATCCATGTTTACTTTTTAAAGTGGATGATGATGATGATGATGATGATAATGATTTACCCAAGGCTTTCCAAGACTCTGTGTCCTGAAATAAGTTTATTTTTTTTAAAAAAAATGTGATATCAAGTAGGGGTCACTGGAGATGATTAGAAACAAAAGGCAGTCAAGTGATAATCAAGGCATCATGATGCAGATTTCCCCAACCAATAGCCCCCAAATATATTGGATTACAACTCTTCATTTTAATGCTGGCTATTGTAAGGATATGTAATCTTACCAATTTGGGGAGGGATGACTTAGACCTTGGTGCTGGATTGGAATCTTTGATATGGCAAGCTCTTTATTTCTGAGACTTCGTCCAGGTTTGAATTAGTATTGGAAATTGAGTACTTGACCATAATCTATGCTACTTTACCCTTGTGATATTCTGCATAAAATTCCGAGCTGATTTTGTACTGCTGCTCTTCAGTTAGGTCAATCAGTATTACTTAGAGTTTTAGTTTGTTTCTCCTTATTGCAGCTGAGGAATATGCCCTGCAAATCCAGATTAATAATCACCTGCAAAAAAGGAAACTTCCTGAGGTTCCTGTTTCTTCTGGCTCTAATCCATCATCTCAAAAAAACAACCCACCTCCTTCTCAACGGCAACAACAGATTGGTCCCTCCAAATCATGCTCTCATCCGAAACCACCCAGGCGCATAAAACAAAGACCTTAAGTATTTTTGTGTTGCATACTTATCTCAGAGGAAATACTTTTGCTTTCCATATTAGCACTGCAGTGTCTGTAAACTTATGGTTAGCCAAACTCTGAGCAGGCTTAAAGTGTGACTGTTGGCAAATAGATTAGAAACAAAACTAGAAAACCAGAAGATTCAGAGTAACTTATTATTCCCACACAAAACTTCATGACTAGGGAGGCTTTGGCTTGTTTTAATGATTGTATGATTGCTGTCGTTTTTAAGCAATTTAAGTATTTTCTTATGTGACATTGTTCTATATTTATATTTCCTATACTATATATTTGTAGTTTTGCACTATATTTTTGTAATACATACACAGAGAATGGCATTTAAAGCAATAAAAATTTGAAATTTGTTCCATATTTGTTCTATTTCAAATTTCTAAAAGAAATTTGTTCTATATTTGCATTGTTCTATATGTATATTTCCTATACTATATCTTTGTAGTTTTGCACTATATTTTTGTAATAGATACATAGAGAACTGCAATTAAAGCAATAAAGAGAAGAAATTTGAATGGAAATATGACCAGAAGATTAAAAAGGGGGTAGGGGATCAAAAAGACAGTCAAGTTAGAAAGTGACAAGTGGAATGGGAGAAATAAGAAAAGAAATACAGAAAAATGACTTCCAATTTTATTTGTATCTATGTGGAGGAACATTGATGTTTGTGTAGGAAAGTGAATATTTTTTTTAAAAGAATTATCTGCTTTTTTCATTACAAAAATAAAATGATTGTCCCATTTCCAGGGTGGTAATGTGAAGAAATTCGAAAGTTCACCTCCGGATCAGAGTTATATCTAAAGCATAAAAACTACCTAATATCAGTTATAATTGCCAAACAAGCCAGATTCAAACTTCAGATAAAAAAGATGGTGATTTCTAATAAAGATAAATAAGATTCACAGTTTGTGTTTTATATTTTACATGAAGCTATAGTCAATGAAAAATAGAAGTGCAGACTCTCAGCCACTTTGCAATTGCATTGGAAGGGAGGCAGAGAGAAACAAGTACAAGAGACACTGTCAGTCTTACTCTTTGTACACTAAACTATAGCTTAGCACAGCTATGGTGCTTGATGAAAGCCATTTCTGCAGGGGTGCAGTCAGCAGGGGTGCTCCCCATCTCTGCCTTTCCCATGAGTTTATTGATCAACTTGGGGGGCCCTTTATCAGGAAATCCTTGGGAATCCCATGTTTGTCCATGGGAACCCTGTGATCTGAAGCATGATGAATGGAGTACAGGAGACAAGCCACTTGTGCAAATGTCACTGTTCGTGAAATTAACGGTGGGAATGGAAACTCTTGCTCGTATTCTTGCTCTTATTGTGAGTTTTGCTCAATTTATACATTTCACTCTCTGTATTCATAGTTTGTCTTCTAGGGATACTCAGTCAAAAGAATCTTCAATTAGAATCTTAGAAGAGCAGGATAAAAATAAAATAAATAGTAATAAGAAGAGTATGGAACAAAAGACAATTGCAAAATATATTTATTTCAAACATTCAATTCCTGTTTTTCAACTTGAAAAGCAGTTGGAGTAGGATGATAATTTGAAAGAGAATTAAACATGCAGCTAGTATTAAACAAACAATAGCAGTTTATCAGAAAGATGATAAAGGAAGCATTTTCACTCTGACTCTCTGAGCTTCTTAGTCACAAAAGCTTTGTGTTCAGCAATATTTTTCACAGGAAACTATTGAACTTCCTTGTAGTCTGTGGTTCAGTGTTTCAGTGTTTTTCCCACATGTGACCTAATACTGAGATGCCTCAGTATTTTAAAAGCTTTGCCAAGAGAGAGAAGAAAGAAAATGTGCACTCAGCATTTTAAAATCCAGTGGTCTCTTTTCTACTGCCATCACATACACGAAATGCTAGAATGTACAGATGAAACTTGAAAAATTAGAATATCGTGCAAAAGTTCATTTATTTCAGTAATGCAACTTAAAAGGTGAAACTAATACATGAGATAGACTCATTACATGCAAAGCAAGATAGTTCAAGCCATGATTTGTCATAATTGAGATGATGATAGCTTACAGATCATGAAAACCCCAAATCCACAATCTCAGAAAATTAGAATATTACATGCAATCAATAAAACAAGGATCGTACATAGAACAATATTGGACCTCTGAAAAATATAAGCATGCATATGTACTCAGTACTTGGTATGGGTACCTTTTGCAGCAATTACTGTCTCAATGAGGTATGGAAGTGGCATGGAAGCTATCAGCCTGTGGCACTGCTGAGGTGTTATGTAAGACCAGGATGTTTCAATAGCAGCCCCCAGCTCTTCTGTATTGTTCGGTCTTATGTCTCTCATCTTTCTCTTGGCAATGCCCCATAGATTCTCTATGGGGTTCAGGTCAGGCGAGTTTGCTAGCCAATCAAGCACAGTAATCCCATGGTCATTGAACCAGGTTTTGGTGTTTTTGGCAGTGTGGGCAGGTGCCAGGTCCTGCTGGAAAATGAAGTCAGCATCCCCATAAAGCTCGTCTGCGGAAGGAAGCATGAAGTGCTCCAAAATCTCCTGGTAGACGGCTACATTGACCCTGGATTTAATGAAGCACAGTGGACCAACACCAGCAGATGACATGGCTCCCCAAATCAACACAGACTGTGGAAACTTCACACTGGACTTCAAGCATCTTGCAGTGTGTGCCTCTCCATTCTTCCTCCAGACTCTGGGTCCTTGGTTTCCAAATTACCGCAAAAGTTGCTCTCATCAGAAAAGAGGACTTTGGACCATTGAGCAACAGACCAGGTCTGTTTTTCTTTAGCCCAGGTAAGATGCTTCTGATGTCGTTTGTTGTTCAGGAGCGGCTTGACAAGAGGAATACGACATTTGCAGCCCATGTCCAGGATCCGTCTGTGTGTGGGTGGCTCTTGATGCACTGACTCCAGCCTCATTCCACTCCTTGTGAAAGTCCCCAACACTTTTGAATGGCCTTTTCCTGACAATCCTCTCCAGGCTGCAGTCATCCCTGCTGCTTGTGCACCTTTTTCTTCCACACATTTCCCTTCCACATAACTTTCTATTAATGTGCTTTGATACAGCACTTTGGGAACATCCAACTTTTTTTGCAATTACCTTTTGAGGCTTTTCCTTCTTAAGGAGAGTGTCAATGATGGTTTTCTGCACAACTGTCAGGTCAGCAGTCTTTGATTGTGATTCCTACTGAACCTGACTGAGAGACCATTTAAAGGCTCAGGAACCCTTTGAAGGTGTTATGGCTTAATGAGCTGATTAGAGTGGGACACTTTGAGTCTAGAATATTAAACCTTTTCACAACATTCTAATTTTCTGAGATTGTGGATTTGGGGTTTTCATGAGCTGTAAGTCATAATCATCTCAATTATGACACATCACAGCTTGAACTATCTTGCTTTGCATGTAATGAGTCTATCTCATAAAAATAATTGAACTTTTGCACGATATTCTAATTTTTTGAGTTTCACCTGTAAAGCATGTCAGTAATGAAATGAAGTTATTGTCAAACTTCTATCCAATTTTCAGCAAGTCTTAAAATGGTAATATCAAAGAATTTGGGGGAAGGGTCAAAGAGAGAGTGAACGGAAAGGAGGGAAAAAATGATAGTTAACTCAATCCTTTACATCTTTATTCAGAAATCCAGCATAGTCCAGCATTCTCAATCTCAACAATTTTAAGATGGGTACACTTCAACTCTCAAAAAGTCCAGTTATCTTTAAAAAACTGCTAAAATTGAAAAACATTACCCTAGTCCATATTAATGGGATTAAAGACTTACTCTAGGACAAAGATGGGCAACTACAACTCCAGAGCCAAAGGTAGCCTCTAAATTTTCTTGTATGGCTCCCAGAGCCCAATGCAAACCAAAATAATGGTGCAATTTCCTAATATTTTGAGGAAGTAAAGATACCATACTCAAAATAATGATACTTCCAAAAGTCTTTGGAAATCTCAGAAAATCCCATCCTTTGCCTACTGTGATTCATAGATTCTGCTTTCAATCTTTGCTCACTAAGAATGGTCACACTTGCTCCTTCTTGATCTAAGCATTGGCCTTAGAATAAGTTTAGTCATCTTTCGGTGAAAGTGGCTAAGCTGCAAGGAAAAACATTCAAAGAAAAACAAGAAAATCAAGTTGTCTCTTGAAAAAGCACCTTTGGGATTGTTAGATATTTTCCAAGTAGGGAGACAGACACTGGAACATGGAGGGCTGATGGGAAAAATGGTTTATTGATGGACAGGATCACATGGATTGAGGTCCTGTGCAGCTGAACACATGGAGTTTGAGAGAGAGAGGTATTTATACCTTCTCTTGGGCCTTGGTTGTCAGACTCCCAGGGAGATATATAGGGGTCATAGCTAACTTTTTAGGTTGTCTGATTTAAGTTTGATTGAAGCCTGGACTCTCTGAGATGATGTAATGAGGAGGCTTGTGTCCCGAAAGAGCGTTGGGCCATTTCTATTGTGTCTGTAATGGCTTTCCTGGTTTGGCTCTTCAGTGATGGTTGATCCTACCATTCTACCTAATTCTGCCTTTGTTCAAAATATCCTGTCTTGAATGGATTATTAAAACTGCATTTCTAAAAGCTGGCCTCAGCTTAGTATCTGCTTGGGGGCAGGGAACTGTGGCCATGAATTTCTGTTTCCTTTAAGATTTCTCTTTCTCTTTTAGGGGAAATATAATATTCTGCCTTTTTAAATATCTCTCGAAGTATTTCATTCTTCTAGGAGAGCGGTGGGTGTGCTAACTTTCTACAGGATATACATAATGAAATTATAGGAATGAGATGCAAAAACAATAGTATGTACTAGCTCAGGGTGTCAGAGCTTGACTATGTTGCTTCTCCTTCCAAATTATTCTAAAAATGAGCATCACATCAGCAGGAGGTAACACCATTAATTTATGTGGTGTCATATATTCACAATCTGGCATTGGCTGTATTAAGGGAAAAAAAACTAACCTCAAATATTCTACTTTTCAGTGGCCATCTTGTAGTTCAAGGAATTCCCAGTTTGTTTCTATTGTACTTCTACTTGAAGATTTCACACTAGTTCAAAAGCTTCAAACATCTATAATTTCTCAGGAGTTAGAGTCTGAGAACAGATCTGATCTACTTTTGACTTTCTGGAGCACATTTGAAGCTATAACAAAATTAGCATTTATAGTATCCTGTAGCAATTTGCTTGATAGATCTTGTGGCAGTCCACTTTCCACATTAGTAAAAACTCTTACTTAAATTCAATCCATTGATTAAAGTCTCCCCCTCCCCCAAAAAAGTTTAGTTGAGACCTAAGTAGCAGCTTCTGGTTGCCTGCCAAATA